TTCGGAGGGGTGGGGTGGGGAGGGGGTGGGGTGAGGTAGGGAGGGGGATCGGGGTCACAACGACTGTCGGTGCCAATCAATCAGCCAGTGGTCAATACTATCACGAATCACAATCATTTGGGTTTTGTGTGTGGACATTCTGTCATTCACCTCCAGCGATCTTCACCACCAAATCCCCTATCTCTGCCTTCCCACGCTCGGATCAAATCAGAACTGATAGTTTTTCTGTTCGAATTGCACAGAGATCGGCATCCTCTGTGAGATTGGAACCCGCGCGAGGACAGCCGCGTACGTTTTTGTTCAGCATACCAGCTGAGCTGTGAGGTTGTATAGAGGCTACCGATCCCTTTCAAAAGCAAACATAAAACGGTTGTATTCCGTAATTTGACAAACAACATAATTTGACCCAATGACCTAATTCGTCAAAAAACAATCGTGATAAGGCTATCCCGTCAGCGAACATACGTTTGTCGAAATTAGTGCGGATTGCGGCATTGTGCAAAACAAATAATTTTTTTGGTCATTTTAGAGCACCACTACCGTTCAAATGACCTCTCCTTCCCGACACACAGACGCTCATAAACGTTTCTACCACGGTGTTATTTCTAGTCGTTGCTAGTGGCATCCCTTGAACTAGAAATCAGAAATTCAACGAATAATCACGAGCACAATATCAAACGAACCGAACCCGGATAATTTCATTTCCGATAATGATGGGTTTCTGTGCAACGGGAACTGTCAAATCCGGTCCTCTCCTAATTCCCACCGATCGATTTTTCCAATCTCAGAACCGAGTTTGGTTGGTAAATCCCGAAACCCGAACAGAGAAAATCAGCCTACTATATGGTTCATTGCTGCGTTAATTTTATATGAAAACTATAGAATAGGACTGGCTTTTCCGTCGTTAGAAACGATAAATGAGCAACAGTTAATAATAGACCCTTTATTATTTCTATTATTATTATTACTATTACTGGTACTGGATACTGAATAATAATAAAAATGTCCGGAAAAAGTGAGCAATACTCGACCAGTCGCCTTCATCACGTCCATCAGCGTCCTGGCTTTTGTCACCGTGTCTACCACGACGTTTGACTGGAGGCAAAATGTGAGATGGACAAGGCTATGACCGTTTGCAACTGATGCACTCTGTTTTGTTTAAACGGAAATATGTTTTATGGTAAATTTAACAATTTCTGGATGAATGACCTGATTCTGTGGGCATGCCGGATCACAAGAAAGAGGATAGATCTGGAGTGCAAAATTGACTTGTTATTACTTTCAAACTGTGCGACGCTCCCAGTTTTCGAGCAGCCGAAACCGAGCTTAAGTCTACGGTTTTATTTTTCCCAAGTCCACCACTATGGACAGTAATATTCATCCAGATTGCCCACTCTCTTTTTTCCTTTTCAAACTTTGTAATAAATATGATTTCGGAAGTGGCTATCCTCGTGTGACGATTCTGACGTCGATATGTGTGTGCACATGCGGTAAGCTGTTTGATCTCGACTGCGTGAACTGAGAATCGGGATAACTTGCGCGCTTTTTCGGACGGTTTGAATGTTCGTGTAGCTAAATCGGGCATGTTTTTGCATCTCAAACGGGTAAAATGTCACTTTAGGATTCGTTTTTTTTGAGTTCCCACTTTCACTCTAATAGGGGAGAGAACAGAGAAGGATAATGTTTCTACTTCGTCAGTTAGATCATTCTTCGCGAATGAATCTCAGATGTAGTATCAGCACGTATGCAAGGAGATCAATCAGCATCAATCAACTTTGGGCAAGTTTGGCGCCACCGCGACTTCCAGTTGTCCCTGAAAGATGCAGTATTCACCCCAGCAGTTTGATGAACGATGATGCTATGTGGCGCACAACAGGATCCTACTAGGTGGAATATAAGTGACCATTATCTGTGTTCGAACACTGCTGCCCACAAAGCAACGGCACTATAGTCTGGCAGTACAACACTACAAGCAACGTTGAGGTTAGCTGATTAGCATGCAGTATTCGCGATCACGCACAAACGAAAGTGATTGGTCTTTGTAGACTGCGCTATCTAAACTCAGTGTTACACAGGCATTCATATCAAGTGAACATGGTTGAGACAGGCAACACGGGTAGAAGAAAACCACATGTACTCAGACCTGATATGAGACTGTCAAAGCCTGGATCAGGAAACGGAATCGTGTAGGTTGAGTTCGACTTTCCACTTGGGAGCCTGAAGATCAGTTTAATCGATGACTGAAAACGCTAAGATTGGATTAAATGTTGCAAACCATGACAAGCGTACAGCTGCTCAGTTTCTGAGCACAGTTCGTCAGGGAATGGATGCATTCCTTTGAAATTGCTTTATTCTGGGACATCTAATCAAATAAAAGGCAACCAAATGCCGGTAACTAGTCAGAATTCAGAACCAATCCAAACAGTTGACACCGGTCCAGTCCATCAGTCCCTGTTCGTATGCATTTCCTTACCTTCGCTCTTCCCTATAACTGATCGTGCTTTCGGTGCAATAAATTAATTCATACACGCAGCCAGCTGTGTTCTATTTCACTAACTATAGAATCCCGCTCTAGTCAAGAGACCTTAGAGCAGAAGGATCATTGGGGAATCCAAGATCAGGACTGGCTGTGTAGTTATAAAGAATTGAGTTAATTAATAATCATTACTTCCAGCTTGGTAACGCAATCAAATAAACTTGTATTTTTACTCCCCGCGTCATTGTTCAATTAAATGGGGGACTGAAAGGCGGTAAACAAAAGCCAGGCGCACGACAATGCACGGTTTACTATCGTAATAAATATGTACATACATATACATATACATATATGCAATGAAATGTTCTTGCTTATCGGGATACTATCTATTCTAAACACTCGTCGTCTGACCTCATCATTATTCACGCGATGCTACCACCGTACGCGGGCGATTCTACGCAGACAACGGTTGGCGAATTCAGATAGCCTTTAGTCAAGATCGGCTTCGAGACACCTAGTTTTACAGTCATCGAGCAACGCAGCGCGGCACACGCCTTTTCAGTAAAAGGGATATATTGTGCCGGCGCCGGAGATGTAACAGATTGACAAACACCGACCCAGCCTTAGTAAAGTGTTGAAAGATCTCCTCAGCCTCCTTGATTTGTTACGCAACTCCCGGAGGTTTACTGCAGAACAANAAATTGCAGGTACACGATTTTGTAAACCATGCAGCTTTAAATTGCACTTTGAAGGTGCAAAGCACATAGTATATCGTGCAACCTCAATTGCCAAGTGTTTTATTGTGCCTTCCAACGCCTGCATTGACAGCGAGTTGGGCAGGAAGCATCGGCATACTAAAAATCAACGACTATCTCCAAGAATAACCTCTACACCAGATTTCGTCATGTTAAGTCCCGCTTTTTGCAGGACATCATCTATGGCGAACTTGAAGGGAAATAGAGAGATATAACAATCCTGCCGTAACCCACTGGTTCGAGGGAACGGTGTTTCAGTAAACAGTTCAAAACGGTAGGTCGATCGATGGAATCAAAAGCCTTTCAGATGTCCAGAAGCATGATAATCATTCGCAGCTTGTTTTTGGTGCTGTTTTAATAGCTGACGAGGGATGAAAACCAGGGCTTGCATAGAACCTAGTCTACTCTTCACCAGTTGGTCTCTCACGAATTTGACTTAGTAGGCGTAATAAAACGGACGCTAACAGTTTCGGTGCTATTGGAATCAGACTTAAGTCCCTGTGATTGGAACACAAATAGCTATATCCTGTCTAGACAAATGTAACAATCGATATGGGAAGTACAAGTTCTTCTCCACAGATTTTAGGAAACAGTCCGGGAAGCCCTCTGACGAGAATCTCGTCGTCTTGAAAAGGTCAGCGGTTAATTTTTTTTACCCATACACCCTATGACATTTCGTGGCTCGGAACATGTCTCGTATCTCCACTTCCTCAGATGGTTTCGTGTATAGGAACCAGGGTGCACTCTCAGGAGAACCATTTCGGTTAGACAGAGCCGGAGATTGGATGAACTGCGATCTGAAGTGCTTTGCCCAGCGTGGCAAGCACCTATGAGCATTATATATTGATCTGTCGTCTATTTTTCAAACTGCTTCGCTAAAGCACTGCCACTTGAGGTCAATGGTACGGATGAGCTGAAACAGGCGCCAGATGTTCCAAACCATTACAACCGATTTCATATCATTTGCATGCAGCGTCTACCAGACTTTTCGGTTATTTTTTAATCTTTTTGTCAGTTTGCACTTCGAAGAGAGGCTCCATTTGTTCTACTTGCCCTCTGTTGAGTCGGCCGACGCGCATGAAGTCCCAAAGCGAGGGAGGGAACTCAGCTTCTCCAATTGAAAAATGAATTCTATCTATAATCCTTAAAACAATAGAGCTTTCAAGTCAAAGGGTATTTTAACAATGACTTTGACATTGCATGTCTCAGATACAAAATGGCACGGCCAGAAAAGTGATTCAATGATGCTCTCGACCGACGGAACATAAAACCCGAGAATCTGAACGGAATGTCGTTGAGCAGCGTCCGTGTAGAACGGTGGTCCGCACCCGAAAGTTCCTGCACTAAATCGGTGGACTCCAGCTAATCAGCTGAAGTACGGCAAACCGGAGAATCAGTTGTTATGCACGCAAACTAAAAAATAATACCACAAATGCTAACCATAATCAAACAGAAAATAGCGAAGAAGGGAGGTTGGCGGGGAGCATGTTTTTCCCTAAAACTGATGAACGTCTAGTGATTCCCCCAACAGTCAATATGCGCATGCTTCACAAATGATGTAAGAGTTTTGGATCACAGTTTCACAGTTTGGCAATAAGTAAAACAGACAGTTGATTAGCTCTGTATCAATTTGTGCAAACCTCTTAGTGATGAACAAGTAGCACTTTATGACAATCATATCAACATCCCACCCCCACCTCATTTCTCTCGATGATCCCCGATACACTGCTGCTTCTGACTGAGTCTAGCAAACGTCTACATACACTTACCTTGAATTGTGGTGCGTGATCATTCTCTTCACATATGGTCACAGTGATCTGATGTATATCCGGTTGTTGTCCGGTAGCAGTCACAACGGACACACTCAGATTGAACACGCAGGCTTGGGCCAGCACGCTCGGTTCGTATCGCTGTTGACCAACACATGCCTGAGCTAACTGAATGGATGACGAGTGTGTATGGGTTCGACCGATGCTATCCAATGCGGTTGCGGTGGTCAGACCAATTGGACAGCACAAACCAGATTCCACGCACAACATGTCCCGATCAATGTGGCGTGCGCTGGTCAACTGACCTGTGCGATTGTTCAATGCGAAATACTGACTTCCACGTGTCTGAAGAAGGGAATAGATACGATTTTCTCCCCGTAGTTCCGGTAGGACATTGGGAGCCAGCTGAGTCCCCTTGGCTGTGTTATCTTTCAGACGGATTTCGTAAGCACTTGGATTGCGGTTCACAAACAACAAGGCCAGTAGGCATAGCTTCACACAAAGTGGACTGAGCTCACACATGGTAACTGATACTGATGTACGTATGACTGAGGTGTATTAGAAGCGTTGTGGAAACTCAATCAGTCCTGGGAGGGGCATCGTCAGTTGCATAAAGGTTGCTGACAATGTCACTTCGAATTAGCTGAAACGTGAATAAAGCACAAATTATATAAAATCTATCAATGATATAGTGAACGTTATCCGTATTTACAGAAAAAGTTGCACGGTAAAACTGATATCACTATTAGAGATACCGACCAAATTTCGATAGGGCAACTCTAGCTTATCGATCCGCATTTGAGAGCCTGGTTTCACCTGCAACTCACAATTTGACATGCAACCGCGGTGAGATTCGGAAAAAGGTAGAGAAGAGAGATTTGGATTTGGTGCTAGCGGTCGGGATTCGGAAATGTCCAAGTTTCAGTAAAACATCTGACCGGTGGGTGGGGGGAATAGGTTCCTGTATTCAATGACTGGGGCATACACGTAGTGTCTCACAAAATGTATTAGGCTGTTCAACTGCTAGAGACTTAGTCCGAAATAGAGGCTGAAGTTTTACTTCTGCTGTATGCTTATGTATTTAAGTGCACAATATATATGGGACCGGATCACCACTTCGTAAAAGATGGTCAAACAAAACAAGTTGAATAGAAATATTAAAAAAACTTGTCACTGTCAGGATGAGATGAACAGTCGGCTCATGGGTTGCGCACGCACATGAACACAAAAATAAGAGAGTACGTCCGTCATGTAATGTCAATATATGCTATATACTACTGAGACTCTTCAAAGCATCATATAGCGGTCTTATCTAACTTGTTGTGAACCCAGGTACAAGGGCTTATTGATTCGTCCCGATTGCCCCATGAATTATCGGGGTCAGTCCTGAACAGCTTCTTATAAATCAAATTTCAGAATTCTATTCCGTTACGTCACTACTATTGGAAGATACCAGACCTTATCAGACGGTTGTCGTCTCCTTGATACACGACTTCTTCATGTTCAGTCTGTTCAGGTTTCCTGATCATATGCACTTAGACGCTACCGAATAGTCATGCATCAGGGTTTTAACTAATCTTTGTTGAGTTCCTGCACGTCAAACAAAAGTGACGGGTGAGAGCCATTGTTCTCTATGTGACGAGCTGCGAACCAACTTAGATAGCTCAGGTGGTTCCCTGCATCGGTTTACCACCAACCACTCATGCCCGGATTCGAGTCCCAATGGATTCAGTCGATATACAGTGCTGATAATTCTTAACCAGTTGAGGAAAACAGCTCTGCAATGACTCCAAGGTTTTCCGTGTCATTTGCCACATGTTAACTTTGTATGTTGAATCTACGTTCGTAAGCAAGTGAAATCTGTAAACCACCACCAATTATCAGCACCCTCAGGACTCCGAAATCTATTGTGACCTAATGATTTCATATTACATAGAGCGGTTTGCATCAAGCTCAATCTAGAGCTGCAAAATCGAACGGACTCAATCCACATACAGATGCATGTGCAAAAATCGCTATCTTCGAGCATGTCCTACTCGTTTTCTCGCGTGAAAAAAAACAACAATAAAAGTGAAGTCGTAAATATGCAGTACAAATTACAAATACCATCGGATAGAGAGCACTGCTCGGAAAATAAACATAAACTAAGAAGTTTAGTCGGGAAGAAAGATGAACACCGCTTGCATTTCTGGCACGCTACTGTGAGCAAGACAGATGAGGAAACGTTTGGCGACTCTGGATAGGTCACGTGCAGGTATACTACCCCAACTGCATCTACTACACTCCCGTGACCATCTGCGGTATCGTGTACAAACCAAAGAACCGCCCTGTACATAACACACCCTCATTTCGAAATGAAGCAAGAGGTCGGACGAATGTATACACACTCACACATACATGTCATCCGCATACAAATCAAACACCACCGTCCCCCTGTTTAAATCAGGTGTTGCACCTGATTGATTTCCTCTACCGAACCGTGCCACATGGCCCAGCTGAGCCAAACACATCTGCTCACACTGGCTGCTTCGGGCGACCGTTGTCCCAGTCACGATCCCCGAGCGGACTAAGCTGAAATCAGGTGGCACGATTCTATGGCCTCTCGTGTGGACTGCGGCGCACGCTTGAAACACACGCCCGCTTATGACTGGCATTCCTTCGAGAAAATCAGGCTGAATAGGGATTTGGGGGTGAATGAGAATGGGAACGGCGCCATGCACGGCACACACGAACACATCAGTCAGTTCGATGCACAGAGGGAAATAATGCATGTTTCCCTGAGAAAAGAAAAGAATGCTTCTTAAGAACGGGACACAGGGCTCGGAAAAAAGGAATAAGCATAACTGACTTGAACAAACAACCAAGGACGCTTTTACGGTGAATTCATTAAAATGTAGTCCCTCAAATCAGCTACTCCCAAACTTGCATGTTGACAATGATGCGTAGAAATTGAACGAATAGCGCACACGCAAACAGACACAATGCCGCTCTCGAAACTCTGTCAAGAGTTTGGCTCACTCGAATTGTCAATCAGCAACAATGCGTTGCAAAACTCCAGCGTCCATCTTCCGATAACCGAACGAGCCTGGCGCCATGACAAGATGCGTCATGTACAATAAACTACTACGTCTATTCTAACTGCCCCCAGACTCCGTTTTCCTACATTCTACCCTACCCCACCCACTCCTATGTTATTGTACACGTATCCAATTCCGATTAAGTCGATCAATAGGTTCGGTCACAGCTCGCACGGGCAGTTGGTATATGCATGAGCACATGTTGTTAACAAATTTATCTCAGGCGTACTGAGTTTGTTGTTTATTCAAAATGGCAACCAGGAAAAACACAAGATACTACTGTCTCCAAATTGGCAAACGGCGAGAACAGTTTGCACGAGGGTTAACCCGATGCCAGTAACAAAGGGATGTCTACACACACACACACACACACACACACACACACACACACACACAATCTAACTTAGTTGTCATTTTATCTTTTCGTGTTAAGAGAACGAAGTTGGCGGGAGACTGTATGTCACTTCTTTTTTACTGGCTGGGATGTAACAACGGATTTACGAGAGTTGGCAATAATGGCCAGGGAAAACGAGGCTGATGAAAGGAAACCCGGGC